GTCTGTCCACATGTCCCGTCGCACATGTCTGCACTGTCTGTCTGTCTTTCCTGTCCACATTCTGTCTGTCTGTCCTGATGTCCGTCCACATGTGCATGTCCACATGGTCTGTCTGTCTGTCTGTCTGTCTGTCTGTCTTTCCCACCATGTTTGCCACATGTCTGTCTGTCTGTCTGTCTTTCTGTCTACCAATGTCTGTCTGTCTGTTTGTCTCCGTATGTCTGTATGTCTGTCTGTCTGGTATGTATGTCCGTCCACATGTCTGTCTGTCTGTCTGTCTGTCTTTCTGTCCACCATGTCTGGTCTTTTCTTCTGTCTTTCTGTACCACATGTCTGTCTATCTGGTTTGTCTGTCTGTCTAGTATGTCCCTGTAATGGTTTGTCCTGTCTGTCTGTTTTAGGTCTGTCTGTCTGTATGTCTCTCCTGTCTGTATGTCCGTCCACATGCTGTCTGTCTTCTTCTGTCTGTCTGTCTTCCTTTCTGTCCACATGTCTGGTCTGTCTGTCTGTCCGTCCACATGTCTGGCTGTCTGTTGTCTGTCTGTCATGTCCAATGTCTGTCTGTCTTTCTGTCTGTCACATGTCTGTCTGTCTGCTGTCTTGTCTGTCTGTCTGTCTTGTCTGTCTGTCTTTCTGTCCACATGTCTGTCTGTCTGTCTTATGTCTGTTCTGTCTTTTTCCACCATTGTCCTGTCTTTCTGTCTTGTCTGCCTGTCTGTCTGTCACTGACTGTTCCAATGTCTTTCTGTCTGTCCTGTCGTTCTGTCCGTCCACATGTCTGTCTGTCTGTCTGTCGTCTGTCTGTCCTGTCCGTCTCACATGTCTGTCTGTCTGTCTGTTGTTCCGTCCACATGTCTTCTGTCTGTTCTGTCTGTCCGTCCCACATGTCTATCCACATGTCCTGTGTTGTCTGTCTGTCTTTTGTCCACATGTCTGTCTGTCCACATGTCTGTCTGTCCCTGTCCACATGTCTGGTCTGTCTGTATGTCTGTGCTGTCCGTCCCCAGTGTCTAGTCTGTCTGTCTGTCTGTCCACATGTCGTACACATGTCTGTCTGTCTGTCTGTTCCTGTCTGTCTTTCTGTCCCACAATGTCTGTCTGTCCTTTCTGTCTGTCTTTCGTCCACATGTCTGTCTGTCTGTTTGTCTGTCTGTCTGTTTCTGTCCACATGTCTGTCTGTCTGTAATGTCTGTCTCGTCCGTCCACATGTCCCTGTCCACATGTCTGCTGTCTTTCTGTCTGTCCTTTCGTCCAACATGTCGTCTGTCTGTCCCGTCCACATGGTCCGTCCGACAATGTCTGTCCCGCACATTGCTGTCTGTTCGTCTGTCGTTTCTGGTGGCCACATGTCTAGTCTCATCTGTCTGTCCCTTTCTGTCCACATATCTGTCTGTCTGTTTGTCTGGTCTGTCATGTCCGTCTCTGTCTGTCTGTCATGATACTAGAGACTGTCAATACTGGAGTCTGTCCACATGACTAGTCCAAATGATCGTACTGTACAGGTCAGTACTGTCTTATTCTAAGTCTGTTTGTCTGGGTACTGTACTGTAATGTCTGTAACTGGCCTTCCAACATGTCCCTGTCCATGTCTTGATCTGTACATTGTTGTCTGTCTGTCCCGTCCACATGTCTGTCTGTCTGTCGGTCGTCTCCACATGTCTGTCCGACATGTCCTGTCTGTCTGTCTGTCTGTCTGTCTTTCTGTCCACATGAATCATGTACTCTTTTTTCGTACAAGTCTTTCTTCACATTCTATCTGTCTATTTTGTACTAGTCCTGAATCTAAAATCTGTCAAGTAGGTCAACGATGGTCTGTGTCACTAATGATCTAGTATGGTCTGATACTGAGGTCCGGTACCAGACAAGTGTCTTATGCGGTCAGAGCATAGTCTGTACTGTCACTGTCCTGTCTTATTCTGTGCCGACAGTAGTGCTGTAGCATGGTGGTGCGCGTGGCGCCACGATGGTACGTCCACAATGGTCTAGTCCACATGTACCTAGTCTGTCTGTCTAGTCTGTCTGTCTGTCTTGTCTAGTCTGTCTTTCTGTAAAAACCAACAGTCTAGTCTATCTGTTCTGTCTATTCTGGTCCATAATTCTGTCGTCTGTTTTGCGCAAAGTCATGATACTAGTACAGATACTTTGTCGTCACTTGAAGATACTAAGTAACACAAACATTAATCTACAACAAAAAACAAATACATTTTTGCTGTCTAAGTACAGAAAAGATACATAATTCAAGTCTGGTACAATTCCACACAATACACAAAACATAACAAAGTCCAAAGTCTGTCTGCCTGTCTGAGAGTGGTCGTGTCGGACAGTTGTAAAGTAGGAGGGACAGTGAATGCGGACGTATAATAGATTACGTCACTCGGAACACGGGGGACACATTTAGTTTTGTTGATAGTAATTTGACACCTCCTCTCTACTCCTACACTTCCTACGTATTCTATGTATTTGTCATTCTCTTCTTTCTATATGGAATGGGAGACTGTGGTACGTTCTCTTCTTTCTTTATCACTTGCTTAATATAACTTTTTAAGTCTTTGATCTTATACTCTTCTGTTCATCTCCCCTTTTATTCTCATTTTTCAGTACTATTATAACTAACAATACATTATTACCACTTCCCATTCTTTTCTTCGTAGAATACTTTACACTGAGTGTAACGTACAGAGACTTCCGTGAACTACGCGTCTTCGTACCTGAACAAAGGGACATCTCTTGTCCTACATCCCGAGGAGCACCTTCGACACCTCTGTTTCTGAATTGGACTCGGACGTTCTCACACTCCTGATAAGGTTATTAAGAGAAAAGGTGACTCGTATCAAACACGTTATGTCTTACGTTCTCCACAAGTCTTACGGTTTGTGCTACATGTCCACCGCTGGAGTGTCGTGAAGGACACAAACCGGACCTCGCAAACCGGTCCCTTTGTTAGAGTACCACCATTTTGTAAGAACACACTCAGTTGAGGGGACGTACGACGGTTTTCACGACCACGTCACAATGTCATCATGTTAGGGAGACGTAGGAAACTTCTTTTTTCCCTTTTTTATTACAGGGTTTTGTATTCTGTTCGGAAAATTAAATATGAAAAGCAAATTTCATTAGTTAAAATATACTACAATAGTTCAAATGATTATTGAAACCTGCACAATGTTGCAACAAAACTTTACCGTCCGGTTGTAACTACACTGGGTTTAAAACAAGAATAATCCTTCCACACACCCAACGCGCAAACCACCAAACCACACAACAAAAAAAAAAAGGAGAAGTAAAACATGAAAAACATTGAGAGGACCAGCGTCAAACCGTGTGGACGTGGCAGAGGAGTCTAAGGCGTAACAAACAGGTGGTCTTTGCAAGTCGTCTGCCAGGAGACCCTCCGTCCCTCGAAAGGGAAAGTTTCTACCTACCCATAAGACAACGTCTCTTGCTGTAAATATGTCTTTTAGTGCTTTCAATGGGTGACTTACTTCTTTCAATTCAATGCACAACAGGGTGTACAACCCGAACGGTCTTTAATAAATTGCGTCTAATAGTTTATTACTTTTTATTCATTGTTCGTTGGTGAAGAAAGGAAAAGGTAGGTGTAGGGGATGTGTTGTTAATTCCTTTATTTTTTGAAGATTTGGTGTCCACATCTCAAGCTCTTTTTTTTGAGTGTTACGTTGTTGTTGGTGTTAAACACTTTATTTATCCGATACCCATTTTTTTTAGAGTTACATTGACTCATTAGGCTGTTAGTTTTGCAAAGGTCCGACTCATTTTTTCTTTCTTTGCATCATGTCATGGCTATTTTGTTAAATTTGTTTTTAGGTTGCGGTTGAGTCACTTTTTTAGTACTTTAAGAGTTTGGGGGGGGGGGGGTGTACTTTACACACTAACCGTAAATTTTCCGGTTCACACGTTAACTGTAAGTTTATCATTTAACTTTCTAATTTTAGTTTATTTAGTTTTTCTTTTTGATCGATGTTAATCCTTTCACGTAACAATATGTGTGTACAGTTATATAATGTATTTCACCAGCTGTCTGTACACCTGTCTGTACACCTGTCTGTCTGTACACCTGTCTGTCTGTCTGTCTGTCTGTCTGTCTGTCTGTACACCTGTCTTTCTGTCTGTCTGTCTGTCTGTCTGTCTGTCTGTTGCATATACAATCAATTAGAAGAGGGAAAGAAAGACATTTTGTTTTTACAAAGACTTTCATTAAGGTGACGCTTTTGCCCAAGTGACTTACAATAAGTGCAATATTCGATTAAAAAACAAACTCGGAACAGCAAGAAACCGGCCAGATCATTCACTTTTAAAGCCTTTTAAGTGCTAGTGCATGTGTTGCAACCATACAGTCTATGGTTGCAACTAAACTGTGTTAACCACAACTCCCAGAATGCAAATGGCCCTCAGTTAAACCTAAATATCTGCTCAAAGCTTTTATCAGGGATTTTCTAGTGATGCTGGCTGTCCCAACAACACTAACTGAAGCTCAAAAGGAATAGCTTAAAGTCAAGTTTAACCCCAGCACACTTTATGACAGTTTACACATATATGCATACTGTATACATAAACAAACACTTTATCCACAAGTCTTTAATAGAAATATGTATATAAATCCAACTTACATTCACTGTAATTAGCTTTTAATAGCCTCATCAATGCTTGCATGTTTCTATTAAAGTTTTGTTAAAGACTCAAATGTTTGCCAGTGCAGGAGCATACGTGTTTTCATTGAGTGACCCCCCTCCTCCGTCTGCAGGTGGTGAAGGAGCTGCAGACTTCAGCCAGAGAGGCCATCATTCTGCTGAGAGCCATGATAGGAGAAGTTTGTCTGAACGTGGAGGAAGAAGAGAGTGCAATCTGTTCTCTGTTCAACAGTTTACAGGTTATATAATCATCCTGGTGATAGATTACATTGCCATTAGCTGACGCTTTTATCCAAAGCGACTTACAATAAGTGTATTCGACCAAGAAGATACAAACTTGAAGAAAACAGAATCATATACATGTAAGTACATCAGGTTTCATAGAGCTAAAACATTTCAAGTGCCACTCTACTGGCTTTAGATAAGCCAGTCCTTTATTAGTACAAGTGCTTTGTTAGTAATTCTATCGCTCGAAGTGGAGTCGAAAGAGATGAGTTTTCAGTCTGCGCCGGAAGATGTGCTAGCTTTCTGCTGTCCTGATTTCAATGGGGAGCTCATTCCACCATTTTGGAGCCAGGAGAGCAAACCCACGTGTTTTTGCAGATGGGAACTTGGGTCCCCCTCGCAGTGCGGGTGCAGCGAGCTGTTTGGCCGATGCAGAGCGGAGTGCACGTGCTGGGGTGTACAGTTTAACCATGTCCTGGATGTAGGAAGGGCCAGATCCATTCGCAGCATGGTACGCAAGTACCAGTGCCTTGAAGTGGATTCTAGCAGTTACTAGAAGCCATTGAAGGGAGCGGAGGAGCAGTGAGGTGTGGGAACATTTTGGAAGGTTGAAGACCAGACTTGATCAATTGTTTCTTTTTCCCCTATTTACTTAATCAAGAGAGGAACTCCTGCAACCACATATTTATTTAAATGGACAATGTTGTGATACTAGGTCGAATCCTCACTATGTTTCTTCAATCTGTTTATTTTTTCCTCATCAAGTTACAATCAATCCCCATAAAGGCAAAGTAAATATAGGGTTTTACAAAATGTAATCTGGAGTCCAACAAGTGACAGCCAGGGCAAAACCAAGCGATGAGGTGGAATAATCAAAATGTCAATTTAAAAGAGGCACTGTTATGCTCTTTGGGGTTTTCCCTTCCCTGTAGTGTTCTAGAGGTTTGTGTGCATTTAGCAAAGGCTAAAATACCAAAGTTCCCTCCAGAGAGAGTTTCTCTCCCACAAATATGTTGTTATGTTATATTATTATATAATGTATAGTATATTTTGGATCTTTATCTCAGAATCAGAGGAATCTGACTGCCTCTTGGTAAGCAAGGTTATTAGATGTAATTAGTTTATAAAGAGTACATGAACATTACAGATTTCTGAAGTCAAAGAATGAGATTCTAACACTGTCTAACCTCAGTCAAATATGAATGAGCAGGAAGTTGCTCAATGTGAGTTCATTAACACAGCTTGGCCACTGGAGGTCTCTGTTTACCTATTTGTTAGATATTAGTGTCTTTTTTTCATATTGAACACATTCAGAGAGTGCAGACACCATGGACTGTACACAATTTCCCCCCGCAATTTTGAAAATTCATTAAGTGTTAGAGAGCTCAAGGCCATTCTCACAGCAGTGTAAGTCATAAAAGGCTCGTTTTTTTTCCTCACCTGACAGGAAAAACTGGCAGAGAGGAAGAAGATTCTCCTGAAAGCAGCTCAGAGGTAACATAGAAATTCATAAAGATGAACAGTTCTTGTATGAAAGTGTTATATTGTTGCCTCAAAGCTTATTATAAGTGTAATCATATTTACCTGTGAATCCTGCTGTCACAAGGCCACTTAGTTGTTCCATTGTATCATGCTGCATTGTACTCAGGGGAAGAATAGCATGTTTCCTCCTTATCACACTCCTTTCAAAACACATTTTCCTGGGTTGTCTTCATATTAGAAATTCTTCATAAAGAAAGAAAAACCGTGAGAAGAATCATCTCGTTGTAATGGGCACAGCAAATGTACATAACACCAAAAATAATAACAAGACAAATTAAATTAAATATATCATATGTGACAGAAAACAAAGAAAAATAGTGCATGAAAATGGATCAGTCATTCATAGACTATAGAAAAGTATAATGGCACAATTGATAAAGTTATGAAGCATCGTAATCCTTTATAGAGACAGACATGTTCATCTCAACAAAGCATTACTGAATCAATCCACCTTAATATTACCATGTGCCTGGATCCAATCAATGAAGATGGGGCCAATTGAACATTACTTGTAAACAAGTCAACATTATGTATGTTTTTATAATCTTTCTCAAGCCCATAATGTCAACAACTTCTGCAGGAAAACTTAGATGGGCTTTCTTCCACTTTAAATACAGACCAAGCACGTTTAGCACCTCCTTTCTGAAATGTGTGTTTGTTGCATCCGCCATTAGTGTTCCGTGAACATTAACAACACAATATATTGTCCTGAGAATAGGATCATAACTTGTTCTTCATTCATGGCAGCTTGCCACGATCTTACTTGCTTGCTCGTGCAGAAATCAAACTATACAGTGATACCGATTTAAGAAATGGGTTTGGATGATGACAGCCTCCCAAATCATTAATTAAGCATTAACTCCAGCCACTAACATAATTACAAATTTAACAACATCCCTACTGTGATAATTTAAGATTGATTTAATGTCAGCCTAGGTTTGCAACTAAGTAGTCTCTAAAATCAAATTATTGCACATCAGTCACTTTTTATGTAAGATTAATGATATAGCACTAAAATATGTGTATAAAACATAACGGATATAAAATGTTTTATCTCTTTCTCCACACCCTGCAAACTCACATCTCCAAAGGGAAAAATCTGAATGAGTGTTATATCTGAGCACTTTTTCTACTTGAGCGCCCGCTCCATGCGTACGTATGTGAATGAACGAGAACAGCTTTGTGCACGTGAGTGTGTATCTGCTTGCGCTCTGTGGGGATCTTTAATGAGATTTTTCGTGCCCTCCATCTCTCTTTCTCTCTCGTCTGCCTGGAAGCCGTCCAGCGGCTGGGTTCCCGGAAGAGTGTTAGGGGCTATTTATGTCTGTGTGTGTGGGTCTGCTCTGTGCATGTGTGTGTTTGTTACACAGAGAGAAGACCGATAGATTAGCGTCTGAAAATATGTAGTATGTTGTGTGTGGTTGCAGATCCTGAGCTGGGTCCTCTGAGTGTTTCAGCATGTGGAGGTGTAGTGTTACATGTGTGTATGTTTGTGTGTGTTGCAGTCAGCACGAGGAGAAGGAGAAAGCACTAAAGGAGCAGCTCTCACACCTTACTGCCCTCCTGCCAACCCTGCAGGTAGAGCAAAAACAATGGCATGGTAAATCTGAGGGGTCACATGTGATTAATGCGTTAGGGAAGAAGAAAAAACAAAGTCCTGATACACACGGGATTGTGTTTAGCTTTTGGACTTTTCTTTAACTTGATTTATAATTGATATCCATAGTGTCTCATTACCTTTGCGCCTGGAGCAGGTAGTTCAATTTAACCATTTGTGAAGTTTATCGGGGAAATCGCTCATGACATGGAGCCAAACCAGACACGTTTTTTGTAAAGACTCACAAGTCAAACTTTGCTTTCATCTTAAAGGTGGGGTATGTAATTCATTTCAGAAACACTTTTTGTTATATTCCATGGAATGCTCTTAACATCCCGATAGCAATGAATATATTAAATGCTTTGACAATAAATCTATAAAAAAAATGTCATCTGTGGAAGTCGTAGCACTGTAAAAAGCACGACCAATCATTTTAGCCGGCCCGGCTAAAATAACTGGATGGCCTACCTGCCTGTCAGCCTTCCATCTGTGCACAAACCTATCTCGTGCCCTCATTGTTCTTGTGCGCGTTTGTGTGTGTTGGAGGAGGGGCTCTGTAAGGAAGTGGCAGATTTTTTCCGGTTATGTATTTTCAAATTCTAGCGCACGTTGTGAGCAATTTCCTTTTGTTACCTGTTGTGCAAATAAAGTATATCAATTATACTTTACCTCTGGCTCCCGGGTCGTGCATTTGAGTCCTTATCTTTGTGTATCCAAGTTCGTAACAACTAGCCTGTATGAATGAACTTGTCTCTTGGATTAGACTCTTCCACTGCACACTGTTACATTTAACAACCTATGTTTATTAATGGTGGCATTACATGTAGTTCTGCTAGTACCAGGCTTTCAATATTTCACATAACGGGTCACCGATTGCATTAGAATGCATCAGAGCTGTAGGTAATGTGCTGTTTTAAAGGTCCCATGTCATGGCCATTTCTACTGATCATAATTCCATTGTTGAGGTCTACTGTACTAGAATAGATTTATATTGTGCAATTTTCCAAACTCACATTGGTTTCTCATATAGTATCTCTGTATAGTATTCACTCCCTGTCCTAAACGGCTTGTTGGAGCTCCTGCCCACCTCNGGATATAATGGTTAAAATCAGAGCTTAAACTTCATTTTGGACGGAGGTCTGCGCTTTGGCACAGACGTACTTCAGTTCTGAAGTACATTAACAACGAGCGACATGCCATATGTGCGCAAATAGGATCACAACCTTAAGAGAGGTTTCAAGACCATGCTCGAATGGAAGCATGTTGGAACCAAAGACAAACCCAGCTGATGCGCATCCAGAGGGAATGAAGATCCCTGACTTTTCTGAAAGAGCCGCCAGTTGGCTTGGAGGGTCCCCACGTTTCTTGTAATGTCTGAAAAGGAAATGGCCCAAATATTGGCCATTGTCCTCTGTTAATGTACTTCAGAAACTGAAGAGTACTGTCTGCTCCAAAACACAGACTTCGGCTTCCAAAATGAAGTTTAGCATCTGCCATTTGGTAACATTATATCCACTCTGGCCCAGGCCAGAATAGCAGCCTGCCTTAGTTCCAGGTCGGGGAATTGGTCCCAATTTTGTGATTGGGGTGTAATTTCTGCCTTTCCTAATAGCGAAAGAAAAAAAATCAACATGCAGTTGAGAGGGTGGTATGGGTTCACCAAAGTCCTTTGCGCCTTCCATCTGGTCCACTTTGTGTTTGATGCCAACAACTGAAGCTTCCTTCCAACCACCGTCCATCCACTGTTGTACGATATCTCGGTGGACATGGCATCATCCCCATCCACAGCTTCTCCTGCAAGCTTTTCTGGCATTTATCTTGGGCTAGCAAAGTGACTGGTGCCAAAATACCCAAAGACGATCATACACCGAGCTTGTTGGTGATAGCATTGCCACGTCTTGTTAGAGCCTGCCCTGTTTACACTCCATCTTTAAACTTAAAGTAAATCTGCACTCGATGCACCAGCATAGTCCCAAAAGCCTCTCTCAAGAGGAAGATTGTTTTCCGTCCAGATCCAAGTCCTTTAGCTCTTAGCCTTCTGCTCTTCTGCGATTGCTCTGCCAAAACTTGCCTCTCGACTATTGCTGCTCAATTTTTCCAGCACAAAACCTCCTCTTTTACAGGAGAAGCATTAAGATTCTTCAACCATTTGTATTGCTGGCCTTCTCTGAGCCCAAACCCATCAACGTCATCCATTCAGACTTGTTGTCGTTCAGCAGTCTTTCCTTTAGCGCATAGCTAGCCGCAACTGTGAGAGAAACAGCCCGAAACAGATGCACCGCTCATTCTGATTCCTGGATCTCTCTGGTGAAGTCTCCCTCTGGCCACCAGAGAAAACGAAGCGAAATCTTGGGTCTTCTTCTGTGATTTTTTCCACTTTTGACCTTGGGTGAAACATAGCCTGTATGTCGCCATGGCAATGCCACAGTTCGCTGAAACGGAGTGAGAACTCCAAAGCAGTGAACTGCGCTGAGGGGTTGGCGGGGACCGTTGATAATAGGTACAGTCGATTTAATGATGTTCCTGTTAAATGTGGCCACCACAATCAAACACCACTCGGAGATAACCTTTTTGTGGATGAACCACTGTGGTTTGGATGTACCATCATCTTCCACTGCCACAGTGCTGCTTGTGTTGGTACCTGTTCAGGCATAACCCTTTTCAATCATCCATTCAGGAAAGCTGGCCCCATATTTTTCCCCTTTATGCACATTGGTGTACTCACCAAATATTTTCCTAAATCCAAGTAGCCTTTTGCTTTGCCACTGCAAAGTTGTTTGGAAGAAGGACGTCAGGTGTCTTAAGAGGTAACTTCAGGATGCTACCTGTTGTCCTGTAGTGTTGGCAGATGTATTCATGATTTCCATACATTTTTGGTCTTCCCTTGACATCTCTTTTTTCCTCTGAGGGCTTTTCATTAAAGTCATGATTATACTGACTGCTAAGCATAGCTTCCAATTTGGAAATAGAAATACCTATTTCACCACAACAGAAGAAAGCTCCATGTCAACATCACTGCCATGCTGCTTCCATGTAAAGGACCATTGATGAACCCATCCCAACACTTTCTTATAGGTATGGGCCATTCCACAACTGTATGACAAATTTTCCAAGGTTCCAATATCTTGGGAGCGTTGGTTCCAATCAACATGTCAACATTGGGCATTATGCTGGGGGATATGAACTTTTGACAAATGATTCCTCCTCTTCACATCTGCAGCTGTAGCAATGTTTTCTTTGGTACGGCTTTGCTTCTGTGTGAGGACTTCTGGCGGACAGGTTGAGGAGGATGTCCGCTCCTGTGTGTGTGGTGTGTGTGTGTGTGTGTGTGTGTGGTGTGTGTGGTGTGTGTGTATGTGTGTGGGTGTTTGTGGTGGTGTGTGTGTGTGTGTGGTGTGGGTGTGTGTGTGTGTTTTTGGGTGGTGTGTGGTGGGTGTTGTTGTGTGTGTGTGTGTGGTGTGTGTGTGTGTGGTGTAAACATAGCTCAGATGGAGGGCCTCTTGAATTACAGTTTTAATCCTCTGTTCAAAACTGCAGTATCATCACTGAGCGTCAGAACTCGCTGACAGGGGAAGGCAATACAGACATCACACACGGCGTAGCTTTAGGTAGCAAAACACGGAGATATTGCTCCACCTGAAAAAGTATTTGATAATTCAATTTTATGTCAAAACTGAGTTTCATTAGCTGCTAATGATAGCTTCCAGAGTGAATTGACAGCTTCCTGTTTTGTCTCCTTGGATACGAGTCCAAACAACTCACAGTGCCGGGCGCTGTGGACCATCAGATTTGACGACGCTGATTTGGCTGAAATTATGTTTTGGCGGCATAGTTTAAGTCCTTATCTTGCAGTATTTTACTGTAGCTGAAAGATCATAGAACTGTTTTCAAAATGCATTAACTTGTTGGGTCCTTATTCCAGTAACACGAGATATAGATCGAATATCGTTGTCCTATTTGCTGTAAATCACTTGTTAATATCGGGAAAATGGGTCAGAATCAGAGGTATCAGAAAAGTCTGGATTCAAACTTGCCGCTGCTTGGTGCTGTGTACGTGACGTCACGTTTGGTTCCGCGAATCCTGGTGAGTTCAGCCGTCCCAGCATCACACCAGTGTAGCATTGCTTGGTATAGCGCATGTCAACTTTGTGATTAGTGTTATCATCGGTCCACACCAAATAATTGTTCTGTCAAATTGTGCCAGCATACCCGAACAGGAATAGATCGCTTCTTCTGATGACGTAACAGACAACGTGCAATAGATGCCGTTGTAAATCGACGAGATAATACGTTTTGTAACTTCGGCTGGCAATGTAGGCGCCATGCCTGCGATCCGGACGGCAGCATGAATCCACGAGGCAGCAATTGGTGAGCCTTCAGGGAGGCAGCACGACGTGACGCACGCAATGGCCTGCTTCGAGAAGCAAGTTCATTTTATTGGACCTAATAGCCACGTTTACATCAGAATTCAGTATGAATAAAGAATCCAGACATGCGGACTATACTGTGGATCATACATCCACTCAAGAATCAACTCGACACAAAATAAGAAATTTGCTGGGTTAATCGGAACATGATACAGGATACAGACAGACAGATAGCAACATGCAGCTGCCTATGGTGGCTGTTTTTTCAATATTGAAGTTGAATGGCATCAATCTGGGCACTTTGAGAGCAACAAAATGAGAATATATGAGATACACTCTAACACCATATGATACAACTGTAAACAAGACTACTTTGTGTTTCATGAAACATTGTGACTTGATCAGTGACTTGCTAGACATCGTATCCCAATTACTTAATCGATACTTTTATTGATAGTCTATTATACAACTCCTCTCTGATCATCATATTGTATATAATATTACTTTGTTCATAATAATAATATAATCAAATATAACATCAAAAACGAAATTAATTATTATTTTGTATTAGGGCTAGAAAATATTGTTCATGTGAAGAGTGTATGTATTGATTTAA